TTTTTTTGTACTGGGAATTGAACCCAGGGGCACTTAACTACTGAGCTACATCCCCAGCCCTTTATTTTTATTTTGACACAGGATCTCACTAAGTTGCACAGGGCTTTGCTAAGTTGCTGAAGCTGCCCTCAGACCTGCATCCTCCCAAGCTGCTGGGAGCCACCAAACCTGGCTATTTTCACATTTTCTAAGAGTATGTCCTATGTGGAATTTGGAATGAATGGAAGGTTTACCCATGTACTGAGTTTCCCATTGTGAACCAATCTCGATCCTCTGACTCACAATTAAGATTAAAATGTAAACTCCCTAGTGCAGGCTTTTATAGCCTGGTATCAACCTACTTTGCCAATCTTATTTCCTTCTACTTCCCTCAAATACCCTACATTTTAGGAAGACAGCATAACACTTTGAATGAGCTTTGAAGTTTGGAATTTCTACAGCAGCGTGAAGGGACCCTTCCAGTGTTTGTTTTTCATTTTATAAGCATTCCTCTAATAGTATTTCCCGAGCACTTTTTGAATACAGATTGTTTGTGACTCTCCACTGTAGCATGATTTATTCTATATCAATAAATTTTCTCTGTGACCCCCAAAGTTGGAGCACTAAAACAAATCACTAACAAATGGTCATCATAGGAGTGATTATAGTTTTGTTTTTGAATTAACCTATTAATTGAAGCAACTTACAAATGCCCCCAAATAACAAGCTGGTATATATAATTTAACCTTTTTTGAGACACATTTTTAAGAATAAAAAAGGGTGCTATAATTATATTAAAATATCATGTATAAATCAGGGTGTCCTAGATTATGAATAATTTGTAAAACTCTATAATAGAAACACTTTCTTTTAAAACACCCTGCCATTTTGTGTGCTGCTTAAATATGCTTCATATTTATTATCTCCATAGATATTGAACCCCTCCTACTGGGCAGATGCAGCCCCTGCCCTGACAGGGTTTACAATCTAGCTGCTTTTTACTGTGCTGCTGAGAAAGCATGGCCTTTCATCCTTGGAACACAGAATAGTGTTTGAGCTTCACTTTTACCAAAGCTGTTACTGTCTTCTTTTTTTGGGGACAGCTTGATGCAGTGAATGGGAACAAAGGCTTTTGAGGCAGAGACCAGGGTCTGCCATTTAGTTCAGACACCTACTAGGGCTTTGAGTAGAATACTCATGTGGTCCTCTTCTGGAGGATAATACTTAGATTTTACATTGCAAGACTGTTATGAGGACAAACGTTTGTTCATGCTTTGTGGGTGGTAGTTATTGCCATATTTTCTCAAGCAATACCAAACCTGAGCACAAAAAAACAGAAAAATGTCAACTTAACCTGACAGGGGAGGGGGAAAGGGAGTGGTAGAATTAGAGCCCAGAATGTGTCCATGCTGGGTAGTGAAAACAGCTCTGAATGGAAATGAAGTCTGCATTGCTTGGCCTACCGAGCTCAGGAAACAGGGCAGCTGAGGAGCAAAAGGCAAGTTTGAATAACAGAAATCAGCTGCCTAACTTGAACCTTTTCCTGGTCAGCACCTGGTGTGCTGACTGCAATGTCCCCAGAATCTCAGTCTTGTGGAGAAGAGCCAAGAAAGAGCAGAAAGAGGCACAACACAGGAAGTGGGGAGTGGAGAAGTAGAAAGGAGATCCAGAAGGGGGTTGGGAAGAACTATCACCCCAAACACACTGCCATGCACAGGAGCCTGCAGTTCTGCACAGTGCCTTGCATGGTGGCAGCAGCAGCAGCTCAAATAAAGAAGTTTTGGAAAGACCTGAATTGCTGACCTGTCAAAGGCTTCTTTCCCTGCCCTACAAAAATCAATGCCAATAGCACACTTGGAATGTTAGTAATCAGACAAATTAGAACATTGCTCAAGTCCACCACCCAGCAACTCGAATTAAGCAAACCGCTTATAATCAACATAAACCTGAATATTTACTTAGTTAAATAAATAAATCATCATCTTTGTTGATGGTATGATATACTGAAACAGCAACGAGAAAGATCTGATAATAAAAAGGAATAAAAGTTTCTAGTATATTCTGCTTTGCAAAACTGCCTTTTAGAACATCTACGATTTTCACCTGTGAGCACAATTTGGAGTGATACTAGACTTCATTTGACAGCAAATCGTTTTCTGTTTGAATTGCTTATTGCACCTTTAGAAAAAAAGCAATACATATTCATTGGGAAAATTTAAAAGACCTAAAGTAAAATAAAAATCATCTGCAATCCCACCACTCAGGGTATATAGTGTTAATGCCTTGGTATACGTCTTTTAAGTAGAGGCAGTTTTAATATTGTGACATCACCACCAACCTTCTTTATCCACTTCATTTGATTTCCATGGTCACAGTAATACACAGGGCACTCCAATCTCACAATTTTTAAAACACAGGATTTCCATTTGCAGTCTGTGGCAGGCTAAACCCTTAATTAGTAACAGCAGGTGCTGAAGTGCTTAAAGCAAATCACTCTTACATTTTAGTGAGTTGTTATTTATGTCACTCTTATCACCGGGAGCAGTGCTGACAATCAGCAGCAGCTGCATGGGCCATGCTCTCAGGAGGCAATTGTGGGCTTCCAGTTTCCCCAGGAGTCAAGGGATTTAAGCAGCTCTATCTGGAGAAACTGAGCAAGCTGTTCTTCTCAAAATGGCCTACAAAAGGTTTAGTCAGGGCTTCATAGTCTCACGGGTAGGAAACCACAATTATTTATGTACTACTAGATAATCAGATATTTTATTCAGAATTCCATTTTGTGCAGCTTGCTCAATCCTGCACCACAAAATACTACTTTTCATTCTATTTTTTTTGGTATTAGGGATTGAACCACACAGGGTACTCATACCACTGGGCTACATCCCAGCCCCTTTTAGTTTTTATTTTGAGGCAGGGTCTTATTCCCTCATCTTGAAAAAATTAAGAAAATCTGTTAAGCGGGTCCATTTCAAAATCCCCATTCCATTTCAGGAGGTTTGTTCTGAAGAAGTGAAGTGATTAAGTAGGTAGA